CCAGCCAGCATGGCTGGCTGGGGAATTCTGGGAGTTGAAGTCCATACATCTTAAAGTTGCTGAGTTTGAAAAACACTGTTCACAGCCAGCATGAATTCTGGGAGTTGAAGTCCACGCCTCTGAAAGGTACTAAGGTTGAGAAACAGTGGTTTAGTGCATTGTTTGAACCTCAGCTACGCTCTGTGGCTTAGCACGCTGTATGAACCTAATCCCTTTTGGGGGTATTATTCAGCAAACACTGCTGAAGCAAACAATGGCTCAGCGCATGGGCGAGCGAAGTCTGTGTTTTTCCAATCTCGCTTTAGGAGAACATATTCGCTTGTCAGTCCAAAATCTACAGCTACATGAGTTCCAGTAAAAATGCCACCTCTCGGCCTCCGCTTCAAGAGGAAAACTCCGCCACTCATCCCGAGGCGAAAAGTCAAACTTGCAAACTTGAATCTTGTCAAAAAACAGAGGGTAAGAAGAATACATTTCTGGTGTGGGAATGGGCTGTGCACCCTGGCTGCTTTATAATGGGGGGTGGGGGGGTGTTGCATGCTAAAATGATTGCGTGCATTCAGAAAGGAAATGTTGCTTGAACTGTGGAAGGAGGAGAGAGCTGCATTAGTGCGTGTACCCAGAAATTAGAAAGGAATCTGGTGGTGCTTTTTCAGCCTACCAAATTTTATTAAAAGGTGCACGCTTTCAGACTGCTCTAGCCAGCATCCAACCTGTTGCTCGTGGCTTCTTAGGGTGCTGTTGGCAACCAGCCAACCTTTTTCTAAAATTTCTTTTATTAGGGATAGCAAATACCCCGGGTTCTACAGGTGGAGGGATAGCCAGAGTATCATTCAGCTTTTGAAGCGGTCAGCGAGGATTGGTACTTTTTCATTCAAGCCGCTGGATTAATTCCTACAATGTAATCCAAAGGATTGTTTCACAGTTTGGATTTCCCCATCTCAGCCCACTCCCCTCCCTGTCTGTTGCTTTCAATGAGCCCACAATGCTGAATTTAAAAAAAAAAGAAAAAAGAGGGAAGGAGTGTAGGAGGGGAACTCAAAAGTTTCTACATTTTCTGTTGGTGTTGGATTCCGGTACTCATATTCCCCAGCAAGAACCAATGGGAGCTGTAGTGGAGAAGTCTTTGGAGGGTTTGAACGCTGCACCTCAGATCTTCGGGAGAGCCGCATTCAGCCACCCAGCAACGCTATTTCCTTTACTTAAACCATTTATAGAACCACCCATCTCGCTGCAGTGACTCTGGGCAATGCACAGAGGATCCAAACCAGCAAAACATCATGCAATAAACCTAAATTCATAATGATAATAACGCGTAGTGCATGCCTCGACCTAAAAAGGCAAGATTAATTCATACAGATCAAATCCACCAAGAGGGCTGATTTAACGGCCACCCCCAGTGCCTGGGAAAAAACCCAGATCTTAATGCCTTACGAAAGGTCAGAAGACTCTGGGCCCTCCTGACCACTGGGGAGATGCTACTCCACGACAGGGAAGATCATGAGGTTTCTGAGAGGCAGGGAGGTGAATTTTCATTTTTTTTTTTTTCCCGTTTTTGAGAGAGACCAGGCCAGGGGAGTGGAACGTCCTAAGGTTGGGACTTGGATTCTTTGCAGGGGTCCTGTTTTAAACAGGAGCTCTGTTTTCCAAGGAGCAAAGGGAAAAATGTAAGATCTGTTATGCTGGCTTGCTCTCTCCCCCCCCCGCAAACATCGCAGACAAAACACAGGTTGGCGATTCAGCCTCCAGCGCTGCAAAATCCGAGGGCCCGAACACCAAAGCAACTGAATGTGAATCCTTAGCTTCCGTCTCCAGCCCAAATCCCGAAGCTGCGGAAACGCAGAAACTCCCGCCTGCCAAATTGGAGGAGGCTGCCAGCCAAAAGCAAGCCCCGAAGAAGGGAGGCAAAAAACCTGGTCCCCGGAGGAAGTGAGTTCAGCTTAAATGAAAGAGGTGGGGGGCTTTGGGTAACTTATTTTGACTTTCGGGCCCATTCAGATGCAGCCAGGAAGCGCCAGTCCTTCTACGTTCACCTGTCTTCCTCTCTCTATCTCAGAGGCCAAGGAAAAACGCCACCCAACCGAAAGGTGACTGATTATTACCCGGTTAGAAGAAGCTCCAGAAAGAACAAAAAAGAATTACAGGTATTGTCTGTCTGACAGCTTCCCTCTCCCTACTAACAAAATTGTTCCTTTGGGAATGGTAGAAATTCCCAAATTCCACCCCGTCCAACCTTGCCATGTGGGATAAAGTAGCTGCCGAGGATTTTAAAAAGATGAAATGTTTGCATTAAATAGAGGGGGCTGTTTTACTCCGTAGAACAGGTGTTTTTGAAATAAAGAAAGCAGCTGTCAGAGTAGTTGAGCTGTGCAGAATATTCATTTAAATAGCGTCGGTTTAAGACGTTTTTCTTTTTCTTTTAACGAGGGTTTGTCCCTCCCTGAAATTAAATTGGGGGTTATAAGAATATGCTGCTCTTGAGGGTTGCCACATTCAGAGTTTGATTCTCCAGATATGTTGGACTACAATTCCATCATTCCCAGCTGTGGCCAGCATCTGCTTGGCTGGCACCTTAACGCTGTAGTCCTTCTCAACTATAAACCTTGTGGAGTTCAAGATCCTTATTCCCTGCAAATATACTTTTCTTTTGCTTACATTTGCATCTGATATCAAACCTAAGGATCCATTTGCAAGATTCTTTATACAGGCTGCTGTCCTATGCTTTTTATCTGGGAGTAATTCGGCAGAATCGGGTGGAATATTTTTCCACTCGTCTGCAGAAGTTGCAGTAAGCAGTAAAATACTAGGCATGACAGGGTGATTTTCTACACCTGCAGCCTTAAGCACAGCATTGGCATCTTGCAATTCGTAACAGTAACTGCCTGCGTTTTCTTCTGTCTCTGTAGACGGAGGAGAAGAAACGGATAGATGAGTTAATCAAGAGTGGGAAAGAAGATGGAATGAAGGTAAATGCAGCGTCGCTTTGTTCTTGGATGGAACCAGGGCGTGCAGCAAACAGCCTTTCGCTTTTGATCGTTCCATCGATTTAGGAGACCTTCTTAAAATCTGCCCTTCGGGTTCAAGATAGGACAGAAACCTGAGTGGCACGCGAGTTCAAGAAAGTGTCCAAAAACGTTTCTACTCTGGATAATTTGCTTTGCTTTCCTCGGTAGATTGACTTCATTGATGGCAAAGGGCGAGGCGTCATTGCAACCAGGCATTTTAACAGGGGAGAATTTGTGGTTGAATATCATGGGGACCTCATTGAAATCACGGATGCGAAGAAACGAGAAGCTGCTTATGCCCAAGACCCATCTACTGGCTGTTATATGTACTACTTCCAGTATTTGAGCAAGACTTTCTGGTGAGTTTTCTTCCCTGTCTCTCTCTCCTTCCTCAACTTCCTCTCTCCCTCCCTCCCTCCCTCCCTCTCCTTCTCTTCCTTCTCCCTCTCCTTCCTTCCTTCCTTCCTTCCTTCCTTCCTTCCTTCCTTCCTTCCTTCC